ATGTATAGTTCTACTTTACATTTATACCACGCCACATCAACTGTTCGGGGTAATCGATAGCGATGAAAAGTTAAAATAATCCTTCCTGTAGGAGAGCGTGTTTTTCCGTCATCATTCAGTTTAGTTAATTTATATACTTCAGTCACTCCTTGAATGCCCATTTCGCGAACAATTTCATCTTCCGGCACATACTTTAGGCAAGGGGCATAAATTACGCCTCGAACCGAGTTAAGTTTCTCATGTAGTTTAGCTGAAATAGCTCATAGATTAGCTAAAGATTTGGCCTTTATGAGTTTTTCGGTAGCGCGCGGGTTCCCAGCGAGGACCAGTAAATTCCCATCGCGTAGAATCGAGATGGAGTCGATGTATGTTGTAATGCTATCTAGAGCTTTTTTTATAGCAAAAGGGCTAATTTGGGAAATTGTTATTCGAGCATCGGTTGAAGAAATAACAATATATTTTTTATCAATAGGGGTTATATCGCTGATTGGCAACAACGGAAAATCCGAATTTTTACTTTTTTTTCTTTGGGGGGATGTATCACTTAATAGATAAAGTCTATTCGAGTTTTTGTCTGGCGGCCCCGGGGCCATTATGCCTTATTGTTGTCTATTGCTTATTATTTGTGAAATGACCACTCACTTGAAAAGGTTTGGGAACTGTGGAAGAAGGTTGGAAACTAGTAAAGAAAAGTGTCAAATGTTTTCAATTTTTTTTATTTTGTTTTTTTGTTTTTTATTTTTTTGTTATATATAGACGAAACAAAAGCACATACGCGATATCCGCGTTAACCAGTTTTAGCAATAACACTGAAAAGACAGAAGTTAAATACACAAAAACACCGAAAACACCGAAACAATTGAAAAAACGCAGACGAAAAGAAAACACGCACTACACTAAACACAAGTCGACTCGTCTTATGTTAAGTTGATTTTTGAGATTAGAAAATTAACTGGTGTTGTTAACTGTAATCGGTTGCCAAGCTTTTGCATGTTTGCAATGATTTGAAAATTCAGTTTCTTCTGGGATCTGACTTGGTTTTTGGGTGTGTCTGTGTGCTAGCTGTGTGCATGCATTTTGTCAAACACATTTTATACAAAATTCCTAATGAACGTCACATATCTCAACCTACAATCAAACTTCTGCGTGTAGAAAAATCTGCAATTACAGCAGCAAATAGCAATCCCGCTACTTACATCTAGTTGATGCCAGACGGAAACATTTCTCTTCTCTGTTTCTCAAATCTGTTGTCGTCGACCGTGATTTATGGTTCCATGATACTTGAACATGAAGTGATAATTTTCAAGTGACACTAGTAGCTTCATTTTCACAGCCGAATTCCTTGCAATATTGCAATCCGTTCACCTTGCGGCTAAGCAAATACAAAAAAAATTTCTGATTGTCTCAGACAACAAAGCGTTTTTATTAGCTCCACAATCGTGCAACAGAAATAGAACTCAATCATATGTATTAGAGATTAGATCTTTCCTATACAATCTACAATCTGCCCTTCAATTTTCATTTTCTTTAGGTACCCAATCACATGGCCATTCATTGAAATATCATTGCTAACAAAATGGAATTCTCCAAAACAGTGAATAACGATCTCAACTTTTGACTGTTATAATAAACGTTAGACCATGGTTCGGTATTTTGAATCTCGGTCGCGACGTCAAATGCCTTATCAACAGGTTAAGATTCAACCACATTAGATGCAGGTACCATTCACACAAAATCCCATACCTTATACAGATGTGGTACACTACAATCTTCCGATTGTCAGCTTTTGCTTTGTCCGAATTCCGATTCGCAAACCCAAGTTTCGCAAATTTTCCTCGTTTCGTCTTCCTAGCCTCACCATCCTATATACTACTAAAAATTTAGCGGCTTGTTTAACAATCTTTTCGTTTTTCAATGCGCAGCATTTACTTATAAAATATAAAAGCCAAGCCCCGAATTTACTTTTCACACATCACACATCTAACCATTGTTACTGGTTGATGACACAACTTTCTACAAAATAGAAACGGTAAGGCAAGACATTTCCTTAGCAACATTTTCCCAGGAAACTATCATGTCGCAATGCAGGACCCCAAATAGAAGCAAAAGTTTTGAAAGATGGTAAGAGAAAATAAAAGAATTGGTGCAAACAAATTCGATAATATGACTTACTGAATAGATCTGTAAGAAATTCTTGTGCCCGGTTCTGCGTGCCGTTGCTTGAGCAGTTATATGTATAAGCAAAAGCACCAAAATCATCAATTTTTGATTTTTGCGTACTTGGCTATTTACTTTTAAAGTTTTGATCTGAATACATTTTATATGATTTTTATGTTTTGCCTTCTTTTTACCGAATTGTGCTCATTTTTCTATGTATCTGTCCATTTACTACCAAAAAATGTTGTTGAAATTATTCTCTCTAATTTCTAGGTCAATTTCAAATTCATTTGGAAATTTGTAGGCGATATTATCGCCAACGGGAGAACGTTTACCAAAAATACTATAAAGTTGCGCAAACAGACACATGGACAGACGCACAGGCGGACTTGTCTAGGTACATTTCAAATTTAAAACTCGCCAAGAATTTGCATACTTTATGCGGTTTTTGAAGCTTGTTTCCACGCGTTATGCGTTAGTTATTGCAAAACAACTAAATTTAGATACACTACAATATTGGTTAGGCGTAGTCTATTTTTTCCATTTTCGTACACAGATGCTACAGCATCGCTCATAGAATATTCGATCAAATTTTTGTACGTTTATTTGCTGTAGTTGGTGAGTAATGAGAAAAAAATCAATTTTTCATTGCCTTTGAGAAACAGAAGTGTTCTCAGTTTACGCGGTGGGGTGTGCGTGTCCGTCAACTGATTTGGCCTATTTTCACTACCAACCTGCGTGCAAGAACTCTTAATATTTCTACCAAATTTGAAATCGGCGGCTCAGCCGGCAACTGCACCCAGGAGAGTATTTACAACAAAATTTAAGGACGGGCAGACGGACATATGGACGTGCTTAAATCGATCTAGATTTGATGCTGATCAAGAATATATATACTTTATGGGGTCTCTGATACTTCCTTCTGGGCGTTCCAAATGTTTTGACAAGATGAATATAACCCTCATTGGTCGGGGATAGTTATGAGAAGTAGATACATAATGAAATTTAAAATTTTCCTCAGAAATAATAATTTGAGATTATATGAGTTATATGAAATTAATTCACATCCTTTCATTTTATCAAATTTTTCATCATTTTTCGTTTATTTACGTTTGTATGATTTTGTTAATCATTGGAAACAAACAAACGTCAAATTTGCCCCTTATATTCTCATTATTGTTTCGAAATAACTTTTGAATGGCGAAAGCCATACATAACCCTCAACCAAATGGCTTTCAAAGTACGTCTTCCAAATGACGGCTAGTTTACTAAAAATACATAATCAATGCCCTGCTGTTGACTTGCTGAACATTCAAGAAGAAGAAGAATATACCTTAAATATTTTATTGAATACTGAGTGGTATTTAAAAGAAGAATTTTGGATATTATTTTATTCTTCTTCAATTTGGAAAAAAGGACGAAACTTGATAACAACTTTAATGGTAATTAGAATAATCTCCGCATCTTTATTTCATGTAGTGGAAGTTTCACCTTTTGCTTATGTTCGCAAACGATTTGCGACTAATTTATTTGCGTGTGTAGGATTTGATGGTAGAAGAAAATGTTAGTTCGCTAGGAACAGCTGCAGACGCACAACACCAAACGCCGACTACCATGACGAATGTAATTGCATCAACGCCTACTAGTAATGATAGTCGACTAACTCCAAACAATGGCTGCAGAAGTGCTGCCACATCGGAATCGTCTTCATCGGTTATTACACCGTCAGGTATAGCTGACGATACCTTACTTGTCGAAATATCGGATGCCTTAAGTGAAAAAGATAAAGTTAAATTTACGGTACATACACGTACGACATTACCAGGGTTCGCCAAATCAGACAATAATGTCGTGCGCCAGCACGAAGAGTTTGTATGGTTACACGATCGGTTTGAGGAAAATGAAGATTATGGCGGTTATATTGTAAGTTTATCACTTGTAGAACAAAATGTACTTTTAACTGAAATATTTTGTGGGCGTTGTAGATACCACCTTGTCCCCCAAGGCCAGATTTTGATGTATCTCGCGAAAAGTTACAACGTCTGGGTGAAGGTGAAGGCAATATGACCAAAGAAGAATTCAAAAAGATGAAATCGGAATTAGAGGCGTATGTTCTAGCAATGCTTGCGGACTATCAATTATATTATTGTCAACAACAAATTTTTTGTGCAATTTTAGGGAGTATTTAGCCACTTTTAAAAAAACCGTTGCTATGCATGAAGTGTTTTTGCGACGTCTAGCAAATCATCCCGTCTTTCGTGTAGATCCTCACCTCAAAGTCTTTTTGGAGTACGATCAAGATTTGTGCGCTAAACCGCGAAAAAAGACTGCTATATTCGGCGGTTTAGTCAAATCGATTGGCAAGACTACCGATGAAATAATATTCGGCGTAACGGTGCGCGACGTTAATGATTTCTTTGAAAACGAATTGCAGTTTCTCACCGAGTATCATGGTCATTTGCGAGAGGCGGCCTTGCGGACAGAAAGAATGACGCAAAGACATAAAGAAATTGGTGAATGTCATCAGAAACTTTCGAACGCTCTGGCGCAGCTGTCTACAACAGAAAAGGGTTTAATGGAAACCTTTTGTGCTAAAACTGCTGAAATTTTTGAAAAAGTCAAAGTGAATGTTTTATATTCGTGGTGATCACTCTACCTGCCACCTCAAAAAATCATTAACCCCGCTAAGATAAACATAGTGATTGTTTTTGAAAGTTTTGAAAAAAATAATGTTTTTGAATTAGGTGGCGGGTATTCTTAATACGGATATGGTTTTCTCGCTCGCTTCTTTATCGTATTTGCGACAAAAATAATAGAATGTGTGCATTGTTAAACGTTGGATTGAGGGGAAAATCATATCCGTCCTGAAAATTCGAATTATTCATCTATTAATTTTTCACATATTACTCACATTTTAAATAGTTCCATGAAATATTTTGTACTTGCAGAATCTTGAAGTACGAGTTGCTAGCGATCAAGACCTTAAACTTGGCGACACTTTACGTTATTATCAACGTGATAGCGAAGCAGCGAAGGCATTGCTGATAAGACGTTTGCGCTGTCTTGCTGCGTACGAAGCCACTAATCGAAATTTGGAAAAAGTTCGTGCTAAAAATAAGGATATCCACGCGGTGAGTCACGCTTATTTTTCATCAGACATCTTGGTTCAATCCCTTCGCGATATTTAATCTTTTCTTACTTAATATGTTCTCCATATTTTGTTGGATCGTAACAATGATACCCATCTATGCAATAATAATCGTATTTTTTTTAGCAAAAAATACGATTATTTCTCCACAATAAGGTATTAGCTGTGATCTATTCATAAAATTGCCTCATTTGTTAGAAAGTGAATAGGAATCCTTATGATCTAATATTAGGTGTTGTTATCGTCCGTACCTATCTAATAGATTGTATAAACATATTTGTTAGCGACCAGACTTTGCTTTTAAAATTAAAAATGAATCCACAATACATTGCCAAGAAAAGTAGTAATTTCACAAACACGGATTTTTTGCATTCCTTCGCCATATTATTTCATTATATTCGTAACTTGGTGGTAGTTGCAAAAATTATAAGCTGAATCATTCTTTGCCTACAGTAAAATAAAAAATTTTATTTTTTATGTAAAAATCCGGTATAGCATACACAAACGTAATATTTTTATGGATTTTAATTTATTATATATTTTCAAGTTTATTAATTTAAAATTCAATACAATCATGTCGTTGTTAAGATTTTGTACATGTACGGTTCAATCGGAATTATAAATCCAGGTTCAATGGAAGCGGGATTTGGTCACTTTTTGCGGTTTTTTTTTTCGTTTAGAAAAAATTTTTCTGTAACTAACTTTAAAACAAATTTCCAGGCATAAAAAACATTGTCTCGGTTAGTTTTCTTTATACGTACCATGTTATCCCCTTTGCTAACTAGCATGTACGCAATGTATATATAAAAGTAGAAAGATTTTCTTAATGTTGTTAGCACAAGCAATTTCTATGTAATTCGTATAAGTAAAATTCACTGTATATATATCCAGTCACATGGAAGTCATCTGTTTCATTTTTATTGGGTTGGCTGGCATATTTTAGAACAATCTGAAATAAGAAGAATAATAGGAAGGTTGTTACTGCTGTGGTCATTGCAATAAATTAGTGGTTTGCATTAACAAAACCATTAACGCTTTCAGGACTTTGTTTTGAAGAAATTAATTTGAAATTTGCAGGTATTAATAAAATACCCTTTTTCATGACATCTCGATTTTGCGGGGATGTCAACATCAGCGTTGGAAAGGCGTAATACATGAACTTTCATTAAATATATGTTGTATTCATAGTTGTCTTTAGATTTTCTAGTCAATAATATCAGATGTTGCATGCATCGATTTAAAAATGTCATAACTAACTGCTGCGACGAACCAGCAATATCTTTCTTTTTTGACTTTAGAAAATAAATTACAAAACTATAGTATTCCAAGTTGGTGGGGCTTAGAATAACAAAATTACTAGAGAGTTGTAATGAAATCGTTCTCAGCTCACATAAATGATGAAGCTATATACAAAGTGATAGTTTCTTTTTCAATATGTTTTGCGTTATTAAAATAATTTTTATCTACCGGTTGTTCTTGTTTATTTGAATATGACATTTGCAATAAATTCACTGCAAGAAAATTTAAATACGTTTGGTACGAACTTCTTTTTCCTCCCTGCAGCCTTTGGAAGTACAAGAGGTATATGGTTAAATTTTAAATTGTTTTTATGTATACGATATTTCAAAAACTGTGATAAATGCTTTAGTAGGCACACATCAATCACACTACCCATACATTCAAGTTAACGTAAACACTAAACAAAAATTAATTCACATATGCGCTATTTAACGTATGTGTAAACATTTTCATATAGTTACGACAAATACTTTTTACTTTATTAATTGCTTCCTGTGTTGATATACGTATTACAGTAAGAGATTCATTCAAACACGCACTCATGTATATATATATATATATGTATACACACACACATATGACGTATATATATCGTATGTACGTATGCATGTATATATGTATATGTATATATATAAATGATTGTATGCATGTATACAATATGTATATATATATATATACTATGTATAAATATATGTATAAATATATGTATATATGTATGTGTATATTTATCTATATATATCTATGGGAATATGTATATATGTATGTATGTGTATATTTATCTATATATATCTATGGGAATGTGTATATACATGTATACGTGTACATATGTATACATATGTGTATGTATGTATACATATATGTATACATATGTGTATGTATGTATACATATATGTATACATATGTGTATGTATGTATACATATATATTAGTGTTTACTAATTGACTTATGCACCCCGTGTGATGGAATTATTAATAGTTATTAATTTAGTAAAATTTATATGAGATGCTTTTATAAAAATGAACTTCTGACTACTTTTGCAACATGTAGGCAGAGGCTGCTCAAGCAGAAGCGTGTGAAAAATTTGAAGCCATGTCCGCTTGTGGCAAAGAAGAATTGGTTGGTTTTCGGAATCGTCGTGTCCAAGCTTTTCAGAAAAGGTATGTCATTTGAGCGATTTAATAGAATGTCATATAATCTTTCTAATTTCCTATTTTAGTTTTGTAGAATTGGCCGATTTAGAAATAAAACATGCCAAAAGCCAATATGAATATTTACGCCAATCTTTGCTCGTCTTGAAGGAAATCGTTTAATAGTCATCGTAATATTTTGATATGTTTTTATTTGACATATACTTCGACATTTTCAACAAAAACAATATTTTCTTAAGCAATTATCATCTTTATAAAAATTTATCCAAATCATTCCACCTATATTAGAATAAAACATTGCATTTTTGTTCTATTATAATAGTAATAAATAATACGTATATTATGTAAACCATAGCTCTGGTTTTATAGTTTGGATAACTAACTGTAGCACGTATTTCAAAACGTGGTGACAGCAAATTAATTAAATGCTTAGGAAAAATCGCCACATCGGCTGGCAAACACAATTTCTCTACATAATGCTTAACCAATTTGATCATATGGGGGCATTTATATTTTCGAATACCAATATTTTTGGAAAGCACGCTTATTTGATGTCTTAAGTTCTGAAAAGAAATAAAATCATGAATGATAGACAGGCAGTCAGTTCGAAAAACATAGTTAGAAGAAAGAAGAAATTCCATTCCTACATTCTCTCTTACAACATTCTTAAAGAAGCATATGAAACAAAAACAAAAAAAAAAAATTGTAAAAAGAGAAGTTTTTTGTTTGTATATGATTTTTTTAGCATCACGATTCCAAAGGGCGCGGATTAATAATTTCACTACTTTTTAAAATGTTTACATGATTTATGGAGTCCCTTTACCTCCATTTAAAGTACATGCGGTAAGCGTATAAAATACGTGTAAAATTTTAAAGTCGCAAAGCTTACCTTAAATGTGTATTTATCGAGATATTTGTAAAAATCGATTTTTTTTAACATCTCAATACCATTACGCGCTACATTTTCAGGGAACTATTGCAAAACAATTTTCATACTGATATGACACAATATCTCATAAATATCTCATAAATTGCGTTTGTATAGGAACCGACATCAGGCAGAATAGCAAACAAGACTGAATCGATTCAGAAAATCGAATGGTATAATCATAGACACGGCTATCTTAATTTCGTTTACATATTTCATATCTTAGCATATGTTAATATACACACAACGTAGGCTATGAAAATGCATCAGCTAATATAATAGTAGTAATAGCTTATGGAAAATATTCCAATTACAAGTCGACGTTATGGTTAAGTATCGCTGACGAAAATTTTATAGTCTGTCTTTCCATTCAACACAACTTGTAATATGGTATAAGTAACATATGGAAGCCACTACACGGGCCATAGTCCAGTGCCACTGTGAGGTTTGCGTAAAGTCTTCCAGAGGCTTGCATAAGAGTAGCACGTAAGGGTTGTATAAGGCCGGTTGTAAATTATCAATACATAATTCCAATGTTGTAAACCCTATAATCGTTAATAATAACTCGTTAAATTTTAATATAAATACTGAAATAAGATTTTTTGTGAAATTTTTTCTTACCTCAGTTTTTAAAGTATTCGAACCGTTTCAAGACGAAACCGAAGGATCCATAAGCAGCGGTAAATAAGGGAACAAAGACGACACACGCACTGGTACTGTTAAACACAATAAATCTTTCATGTGTTGTTTATGGAAACCGCTTTGCAGGCCATTCAAACCCTACAGTAAATTAGGCAGCAATGGCAAATATACCTGGTATAATAAATCATGAGAACCTCAATCAATTGAACAGAATAAGGCTCTCAATTGTAAAAGCCAATTCCATCGATTGATTAACAATGTTGTGCAAACGAGGGCGCAGAATTTGTTCATTTTCGGCAGGAAATAAAGTAACGCTGCCGAATACCAACTTGAAAAGCCTTAGAAACAGATTCGATCTTTCCACGTTAGTATCCATTTCACGCTTTTTACCCAATAAATATTCCACAAGTGCCGTAACATATGCAGGCATTAACGTACGGAGAAGTGGCATATCGCTATTAAAGTCTAGCGGTGAGCGGCGACACATATTGTGTTTTAATCTAAAATTAGATAGAAATAAATAACTAAGTTATAAATGACAATCAGTAAAGATAAATGCAAACTTACCATTGGAATACAATGGATATTGCGAGGAGTCGCGGAGGAGTTAGAATAACGTTATTTTGGTATCCTTGCTCTCCCTGAAGCGCTTGCCTATATCCTGCTCGACCATGTGTTATTTCATATTCTAATCTTCCAATGTTTTCAGCCAAAAAAAACGGTCAAATTATTAAAATTTACAGTTTACGCCTATTTTGCAACGAAAAGCTAAGCAATTACCAATTGCTTATTTATGCAATACTGCGCGAAATAGCTCTCTCAAAAGCTCTTTTCGTTAAGGATTTTTACTAATCAGACTATTTGGAGGTTCGAGAAATAAAGAAACATTATTAATAACTGCAATAATTGTGTAAGTATATCATCAGCTAATTTGAAGAAAAGAATTTAAATTGTCTTATTTGTCCCTCCAATATGTTGCAAATCCTCTACCACTAAAAAACACCTGTACCATAAAAATTAAACTCTCAAAATTGCGAAAAACCTGTACCAACGTCTCTCAAAATTACCAAAAACCTGTACCAATATCTCTCACAATTACCGAAAACCAATCGACATGTGTCTGAAAATGAACAAATACATATGTTTTTCAATAAAAGTAAACAAAAGCCAAGAAAAATTGTCCCCAACATTTTTATTTTATTTTTGTTTATATTTGATAGATTTGCATGAAATTTTTTACAAGAAACTCCTGTAGCATAATTCTCTGATTAAATCAAATATTTTTTTTGTATACAAAAAGCAAATAAAACTAAAATTTGAAAATTTAACAAATATCAAAATATATTGCACAATTCTAATACAATAGGCTTTTTTTTTCTTTTTTTAATAAAAATCATTGCACATTCAAAGAGAGAGATATTTAAAGCGGTGGCGACTTTTAGTTCCTGGAAATACTTTGACAGACTCATAAATGGCGACGCTTCTGATAGAGTATATTTAAAAATGATTCGTGCTCTACCGAATGACATTGGCGAAAGTTGAATCTGCTGAACATTTCATCCCCAGATGTCGATGGTATTAGAAGTTCTGCTGGTCTGCTTAATTTATATGACAGCCTCAATGATCTCTTTACAGCAAAAGATGGCGATGCTTCGAACTCTCAGATTCTATGGCCTGTATATAATGAGTTTATATTGTAGTGTGATCGCATACCCTCATATGCATCCACTTTGAAAACAAAAATTTTGTCGCACTTCAACTGGCTGAGTGATGCCAGGCGCCCCAATTAATTAGTGATTACGTTAGCATAATGTTACCTGAATTATGTATAAATAGAGCAAATTTAAATAAAGAATTTAAATTGTTATCAGACCATTCCAACAATAAGCGTTTAACTCGCTCACAAACCAAAGACGTTCAATCCGCCTAAAGCTTGAAGTTTAGGGACCGTCTCCTGCCGAGACTTATTGGCATTATAAGAGATGGATAGACTTGGCGCTTATGAAGCCGAGCAGAGTAGGAAGACAACTTACACCTCGACCTACAAAAAGTACACTTATCAGGGAAGGATTCATAGGGAATCCTCCCAAATAATGCTGCAACCCATTCTATCACTACAACAGTCTGTTGCAGTAAACGCTTATTTATTTACAATATATACATAATATATAATAAGTATGTACAAATATGTATATATATAATAATTGCTATTTTATTAACTTGAATTAGAGCCTGACCTCTAGAAAACACTTACGTCCACTTTTAACGGTAATATGCTTTTCTTACATCTTAGTTAATTAGTTAGTTACTAAATGATGAGATAGTATGTTAAATTAGTTAATGAGCGTGAATAAGCGTACGTTTTGAAAACATAAGAAAGAAAATAATTTTCTGTTAACTTAATACTAAATTTAATTCACTATAAGAAATGAACTTTTTATAATAATCGAAAAAATAAAATTTTTAATCTTATAATAAATAATAAAAAGGAAATTTTGTTTTCAAAATGAAATGCATTATTTTTTTTTAAAGACCGCAAACAGGCTCAAATAATTGAGTCATGCAGGATTAACATGCTTAGAAGACAGCTTACGTATACATATATATAGATATATATGTAAATATGCAGGAACTATCAGCCGGTTACAACAAGCATTATTATATTTTTTATTTTATTATCGTTGTTTCCATACAATGGAAATAATAAGGAATGGTTTTTTTTTGCATCTAAATTAAAAGTACACATATGCAATACAATAAAGAAAAGTACCCGTTACTTCCCATTGTTCTTGCACAATGCACGAAAATAATGGCGAATAATAATTAATATGGCGACAAATGTCTTGTTAGTGCCGCTAATTTTAACATAATATGCCGGAAATCATCCAAAATATTATTAAGGAAATCCAAAAAACTCATTCGTAAATTTTTTTTTGGGATCTTCTAAAATTAATTTAAATTTACGTAAATTTCGATTTGATAAACTCTTCGCTAAAAGACGTTACTCTATTTTCCCCTTCACATGGATTATAAAAAGTACCATATGTTCAGAATAGAGAGGGCACAGAGTTGTTAATAAATGTGGAATTTACGATGTCAATGTGAAATGAATGAAAATAAACAAAAGCTACACACCTTTCTATTAAAATGTATAACCCATAATAGCAAATACCCGATCTTTACATAAGTTTACATATATGTAAAATTAAACAAATATTTTTCGAATATCAATTCATCAATTCAAATGCAAGGAAAAGTTTGTTTGTTAAAAAACACTCGTTATTATGAGATATGCGTTCCCGCTTCTCAAGCTGTCAGACAGACGGTTATTTCTTTAAAAAAAGCTTTAATAGAATCATTCAACATCTTTTCACCCATTTGTAAGAAACGATGCGTATCTAAATAAAAGCCATACATTTTTCTATCAGTCTAAACAGAAGGTACACGTCTTTCGATGAAAATGAACAAAATCCATCACTTTTTCGATGAAAATTAACAACATCTCAGAAAAATTCTCCGCGCAACATTTTTATTTTGTTTATATTCCTATAACACGTGTTCCATTCTGCTGTATGGAATTTTTTACTGAAAGCCCATATTGATATGGAAATGGATTCGTATTTATTTATTTTTTTTATTAATGAAGTTGAAAAAGAATATAATTTTGCAACTTTTTTCATAAAACATATCACATATTGTTTCATTTTTAATTATCGACCACCACAACATTGCGTAATTGCGGCGACCACGGTTGCAAGGCACCCAAGAGGCTTGTATTAAAGCTGCAATATCTTTTAATTCTACCCTCATTGAACCCATCTGTATAATACCGTATACGTTCTGCCCGCTCAGCTGAATTACGGAAATCTATCAACAATTTGCGACCACGACAAAATTTTATATACTTATTGCAATCCAAAGACGAATCGGTCAAAAATTTCGGTTCGCACATTAATAATAATTTATTAATCTGCTGTGGTATGTAACCAAAATCGGCTTGGTAATATGATCGCCGCATTATCACCACAGCAAGAAGGAGTTTGAAGCGCAGTTCTCTGGTGCAGATAATTTAGCGTCCATAATATTGGCATCTCTAGCAACAGATGATATCTCATTTCGCCGCACTCGACTGATATTATTAAACATGTGGTATTAACATCTGGTTTTAACATTTTCAAAAAAAAAAAAAAAAGAAAACGTCAACAGTATAAACACATTCAGATTATTACTTTCACATTGAGCTCATCATTGTTATCGACACAAGAAATTTCGTAAGATTCACAACGACCGCGTATGCGGCGGCACTTCAATACATAATTCCAATATTCGCGATCGCGATGCATTGTAAAAGCATCACCTTTGCACAATGAACATAGTACGTGCAATTTACCTCTGCATAGTTTATTACATAGGGAGCAGTGTACAAAAACGTGAACTCTTTCATGTTCACATACTTTAGAAATCTTTATTTATTTATTTATTTACTTACTTTATTTGCTTATACATGAAGCTCAACTCAAACAAATTGACAGTGGAGTTCAGTCTTAAAGTAAATCTTATATTAATTAATATTAAAACCTAGCACATGTATAATAAAAAAATAAGAAGGAAAAAAAAAGACATGTATACAACAAGCATAGACCACACCCACAACCGGTACAGGATCAAATTGAAAATGAACCCCTAAGGCGTCGCAACCATACATAAGCTTGGCAACCGATAATAGTTCACAACAATACAAAACAAAAATCGTAACGATTTTTAAGGTTAAAAGCTAGTTTAAGTACGACATAGATGAATTCAGCGTTGCTTCAATGGACTTTAAAGAGCTCGATAATGAGAATAAATGATAGACGTTATTTAGGTTTCTGCAAACAACCCTGAACGTGTTAAACAGCTCGTAATCGTATTAACATTGACTAAGCTTAATCAAGACAAAGTGCCTAGAGAAGTGATTAAGGATATTAAAGCTTATTTCACCAAGTAATGCAGGCGAGTCAATAGTACCATTTATTACTTTGATTAAGAAGGAAAGTAGTGTTCACGGCTGGAGAATTATGAGTTGGAGAGAATATAGAAGAGGTAGACACTTGCACGCGCAGCTTGTGCGACATGCCCAGTTTGATGACCAGCGTTCACACTCGAGCAGCCAACGGGAGAGATACCCTTGCCACTTCAGCATAGCTCAAACCCAAAGCACTTCCCTGCTTATTACCAACTTTTTTGTTACCGATCGGCTCAACGATAGCAGAAACGCTAACGTTCTTTGTAGACATTGAGGAAGCGCTAACTTGTACAAACGAATCAGACTTAGGAGATGACGTACCACAAGCTACGCTACGTGTTGTTGCATTGCTAGCTGGGGAAAAAGGTGAGTGCTCAATATAACGACACTCATCGAAACTAGTCTTAATTATTTCAAACTGCTTCTACGAGGAGCCGAGATTTTTGCTCAGATCTGAGAAACGATCTCTCGTCTCCGTGAAGAGTGTAAAAATCTACGTCCCGCTTCCTACTGTCAGGACATGAGCTTCGTAAGCCTTTTGAAGGATCAAGGACTGCATGAAGAGAAAAAAAGAACAAAATGCAAAAAGATCCACAGGACAAAAATTGTCAACAAATTAAACCAAACTTCTCCGTTACGTTGACATCGTAACAAGAGAGCGAAAGCAACACAAAACAGCGAACTTAAAAAAAAATAGAGAGAAAAAAAACAAGAAAAAAAGAAAGACTTATACCAAAGCTTAAGGCGTAAAGACAATATACTTCATTTACTTTAAATCATTCATTTTATTCTTAAAGATTTTTATAAATTTAGACCAAAAGATAACTAAATAGCCAAGAAATTCAGAAAGAAATTAAAATATTAATTGCAGAAAAAATCGAAGACGACTACACCGCGCCCGCAGGGTTGCCAAACTGTTGCAAGGGAATTGTTACTTTTTAGTCATAGATTCTCTGCGTCGTTAATCCTACATAAAAACCTGTCCCTGGTGCCTGCACTTTTGCTTCATTTTAAAATTGAGCGTCTAGTATAGTTTCGCATAACGGTTTCG